GGCGATGATCTGGAATCTGAATCGTGTTTCATGGGCAGCTGTCCAGGTATGGATGAAATCGACTTTTTACTACTGTTTCCATGTTTTATTATTTGTTTATTAATTTATTATTGACCATCTTTACAGAGGGTATTTATTATATAGGTTTATTTTTATGTAAAAAACTGGGTTGATGAGGGACACAGATTTTTGTTGAAGTGATTTAGTTCACTTTTGTGTCCCTGCCAATCAGCTCAGTTATTCTTGTTTTTCATTCTCTGTATAATTGTTATGTTTTTGGCAATAGAAGAATAAGGATTAAAATGTATTTCTACCTGTTTTATGTATATTAAAGGCCTGGTAATTTCGGTACTTTGAACTTGCTTGCTTATTAAATTAAAACTAACTAGATTTGAACTCGTCACTGAGGACGAATTAGGTGATCTGCCGCACTTTGACCCTTGAGGAAGTGAGCGCGGTGGCGATTGAACCATTTTTAAATGCTGAAAATGGCTTAAAGTATATGCTAATTCAGTTTTTTTAAAAAGAATTTTGAGCATTTTGAAAGATTTACTCATGCGTACGCGCACGTCATGACGCACGTGCGCATGGTAATGTCACAAAATGTTGACTCCTGATATGAGATATATGTATCAACTCTCATTGATAAAATGCCTGTTGTTGAGGGAGTTATTATCATTCATAATATTTATCATATATAAAAATTCAGTTTTTTAAATTGAATATGTAATAAAAAGATGATCCTGACAATAACAAGAGGTGATCTGCACTAGATGTGGATCACCAATGATCAAATAATATAATACATTAATACCATTTTTAGGTAAAAGGTACAGGGTAAAGTCCAAACAGAACTTTGAGCTCCCAGACTATTGTTCTTATCCCTCCTTTGTTTGTTTAATTATGTTTACAGTTGTTTTTAATCAAATCGAATATCCATGAGTCCACAGAATAAAGTCTTGAAATCATGAATGTTGTGTATTTTATTAGAGGATTGTGTGTGGACGGAGTGGCAAGCTTGGTCCGAGTGTACCCAGCAATGTGGAACTGAACAACAATTTACATCCAGAGAAAGAATACCAGAAAGCAATGGCGGCGAACCCTGTATTGGGCCTACAACCAAGACCAAGATGTGCGACCTACCAGCGTGTCCAGGTTATTAAACATGTTATAGTAAAATCTTTAATTAAAGGTTAATTATATATTATAAAGAAATAGTTCAATTTCTTTTAGGTGCTTAGTTAATACCAAGATAAAATAAAATTTCCTCATTTCTTGTGTCATTTAAATTTTTAAATAGTTCATATTTTTATTCACATAAAATAGTTTGCGAGGATCCACTTGTTTTCCGGGACTGCTTGGATGAATGTGAGCTAAGCTGTGTTGATCTACGTGGCAACTCCCAATGTGAGAATAATAACACGGAATGTAAATACGGATGCGGCTGCCCAGAGGTATGTATCTAATTTAATTCCATCACATTTTACAATTTAAAAAAAATATATAACAAAATATCTATTCAGCCAGTATAAAAACATAGATAGATACTGGTCAAGTGCAAAAGAAGTATGGATTTGGATTGGGTTGTTCAATATCTTGAAGGTTTTATGCCGGCATTCTAACCTTCCATTTTTTTCTTTATTTTTGATTAAAATAACAATTATTATATTATTATTATTATACAAGATTTATGTTATGTTTTAGGGTATGGTGTTGCAAGATGGAGAATGTGTCAAGCCATCTGAATGTAGATGCGTTGTTGATATGCGTGAGATATACGGTCCACTGGCTACACCAGGGCCAAATGCTGTGTCTGAGATTGAACCTGGAATGAGCATTACACTCGACTGCATGCATTGGTAAGATGATACAAATAAACATTGTATCAAAGATATATCTCCTGTGGTTCTCGGATCCCATTGTAGATATTGCCAAACTTGTGGTGTGTATGGGTTCTCACAGCATTTCATTTCCATTACCCCTAATGGATGTACTGAAAAGGGGATCTCACAGCATATTATAAGAGGAATAATGCAATTATTCCCGGAGGAGGCTGAGTTTTTTTTGTTCCTTGGTCAGGTTCCTCTTCTGTTACGTTTTCTTTTATATATATAAATATATATATATACCTTTATTCGGCTCTTAGGGGGAAACTCTTTTGTCTATGATTTCGCCTTAACGTCGCTT